AAGTATCCAACCATTTTGTTTAGAAAAAAGTGTGTCGGTCATGCAAATGTCACCCCTGTTGCGAAACGGCGGTTAAGCCGCGCTTAATGCCATCAGTTGAGCGGTCGCATTGAATGGGTTACATGTGTGATGTTATTGATTCACCTGTTCGCTTAATCGGTCGGTTAAGAGGTACTCGCATATTAAGTATGTACTATATGCAATTTATTTATGTAAAGTATTATTATATTACTAGCATTGCCCGCGGCTCCGCCCGCGTTCAGATGACCAAAAACCAAATTCTTAGGTTTTACATATTAGTATACTCCTACAATGCAGTTTTTGTATTTTTCTTAGAAATGAGATATTTTCCCGCGGTAAAAAGTATCCTATATGTTGACCCGGATAACCAACCAGTTATCATCATACCAAATTTCATCAAAATCTGTCCAGTGGTTTTCTCGTGATGCAGTAACAGACAGACAAACAAAAATTCTAAAAACTATAGATTCGGACTCTGTATCGATAATAATGTCTATTTCAATAAGATTTTCCAAAAAATATTTAATGTACTGATTCGGCTTAGTTACAATTTTATTATATGTACCTAATAGAAGAAAGTATTTTTTTTTATTTCCTAGACTAAAATTTTCATAGCTTCCATAGCAACATCATTATATTTATATTTACATATTTCTGATCTTATCTCTGAATTATACAATAATAATAAAAATTTTAGTATAATTCTTGACTTATCTTGTTTTTCTTTTATATATTCACAGTATTTATTTCGGTGTGAATTGTTATTATTGTATACGTGTATCATTTTATGTAATTTAATTTGTAACATTGATACAGTTTGCTATTTCCTATACATAAAGGTCGTCTGAAAGAAATCGATATTTATGCGATAAGGTCGCCTCTTGTCCCCATTTTCTATCTACATTGTATTCCTATATTTCAGACATTTTGGATGTAGGTACTATAAAATGTGATTTTTATTATATAATTAAATCTTGGAAGTTTTAGTAATCTATTTTTCAGGTAACTTTTATTGCCGTATTGATTAAAGCAGGTAAAAGCCTGTAGTTAAAAGTAATTCAACAGTTACAGGTTTTTATTTACTCTAACCAGTAAATCTATACATATAATAAAATTGTAACTAAGCCGAATCTGTACATTAAATATATTTTTTTTGGAAAATCTTATTGAAATAGACATTATTATCGATACAGAGGCCGAATCTAAAGATTTTAGAATTTTTGTCTCTCTGTCTGTTACCGCATCACGGAAAAACCACTGGAAGGATTTTAATGAAATTTGATATGGTGATTGATAGCTGATTATCCGGGTCAACTGCATATAGGATACATTTTATTGCGGGAAAATATCTCATCTCTGAGAAATTTATACTAAACGTTAAAATGTAAGTAGGGACGAACCCGAGCGAAGCGAGGGTGAGTCGCTAGTAAATTTATAAAAATTAAAACCCGACTGCGTAAAAAGCGTACTTAAAAGATGAGAACAAGTTGACGCAGTCTGGTGTTTTTTTATTTTTCCAAATTATTTTTTTATTTACAGCTTTATTGTTATGTTCAGTTAGATTTTTTAGTTTTATTTAAAAATTCTTATCCCAAATTACTTTTAAACATACGAGTTGGAGTTTTGGACTATTGGATTATTGAATCAGACGATTTTTTTTCCAAACACACATATCGCGTATCTAAGGCACCAACCAGCCTTAGATACCCTTAGATATAATTATCTTTGATAATTATCATGATAAATATGGGTTGATAAATATAATTGAAAATATGTAATTTATAACTCTTCAAATTGTCGATCAGCTAACTGAACTCTCTCAATCAGCTCAAAAAACTCAATCAGCAAACTGAGTTAATGCAGTTGAGGAGGATGAGGATGATATTGCACTCATTAAGTAGTCTGCCCACTACACCGTCTCATACCATGACCGTGCTATGAACGTATCAGGCACGGAAACAAGCGACACGGACCAATAGTAGTCCGTTTCGCCCACTAGAACGTATCATTTGCGTATCAACCCGCGTATACATAGTCATATCCGTATACATAGTTCAAGTTTTCACAGTCGTAGTAGTTCACATGCGACGGTGTTGGTTGGTGACGGATAGGTCTTGGTCGGTGAAAGAACGGTCTAGTGGGCATAGTCTTATACTTTTCAATATAAAGAATATTTTTGCCTGACACGGTCCTGGTACGGTCATGGTATGAGACGGTATAGTGGGCAGAGACCTTTAATTTAATTAAATAGTGTCTATATAGTTGGTTAAGTTTATTCTGTTTTTGTTTCATAGTTTGTATATGTCAAAATAATAAAAAAAGAGTACCTTGATTTTTAAAAGTGTATAATTTATTCTAACGTAAATTATGATAGGCAAGTAGTCAAATACTAATACCTACACAAGGATTGCTAAGTTTATATCTGTTTGATAAGTATCGGATAATTATATATATATATATATATATATATATATATATATATATATATATATATATATATATATATACACCACATCTTCGCAAGTGATTAACTATTTTTATATGTATTTTTAATAAGTAATCTCAAAGAAAAATTTATCACTTATGATGGAACATTAAATAAATCTTGAGGTAAGATTAAATTATACTAATTTAATATTTAAGATTTAACAGGTTCACTGCGTAAACAAAAACAGTGACTTTCAGCTGGTACGGTGGCAGTCCAAAAATGCACCCACTTGACTTTCTTATTGTGCGTGGTAGGCACTTTCGACCCGACACCTCCGGGTGGTATCTTACCTCTATTATCTTAGTCAAAGCGTATTGTACATTACAAATTTTTATACTTTTAAAATCCTCATGAATCACTTGTCTATACATTGGCCCCGCCCCGGGATCCTCCAAACAGAAAATGAGAAATTACTAATCGAAAATGTCAGGTCGATAAGGCCCGATACCGCACTACAGTGTAATTTTTGTAGTGATGGGATAGTGAAAGAAAAGAAAATATCGAGTCATTAATTGTATTAAATTTTTATAAACACAAGCCAAGCCTTATTAATGTGCTAATTACACAAAAGCCAAAAATATTAATAATTAAGATATACCAAAATTAAATATTAGCAAAAAAAAACTTAAAAAAAAATTATTTAGATATGCCTATCTTTGTAACATGTTATGCAAAGAGACTGATTACACTTGAAACAGACTGTTTTAATTTTTTGACTTTCTTTTTTGCTTCTGAGGAAGTTAATGTCAGTACTTTTCGTAGCACCTTGAACAATTTCTTCTTGTTTTTTAACTATTTTTCTGTATTTATTTCGTTTAGGGACTTCAAAAATTGAACCAATGTATTCTTCTCCGATATTACTATCATTTTCTAATATTATTTTTTTTGTTTTTCCGATGCGCCATTGTAACGAAGTTTGCACGAAACCGACGAGCGCACGCGTGTCCTCCTACCGTAGCAAGCACAACACTACTGGCGGCTTGACGCGTACGCATCTGCACAGTGCGGCAACAGGAGATAACTTAACAGGAGACTTGATAACTTAACAGGAGATAACTTTTTTTATGTTCTATGCGGCGGAGGTCGAGAAAGGCCTGCCGCGTTATTAAATTGCTATATTTCTACATTGTTAGTCGCAAATCGAAAACTATATTTGTCCCTGTCATACTCGTAGAAATTCCCAGGAAACAGGTTTCGCACAAGCGAGAGAGACCAATTTTTCCTGTGCGCACATTGATTTGGTACCGCGTCGGGCCGATTGTGGGTGAACCGCAGTGAACGTGTTAAAACAGCCTACAAGCAGTTTTGTACTAGACCGATTTCTATCAATTATAATATTATTCATACTGAAAAATTTCCTATGACGCAGATTGCTCCATAATTAATTAATACGAGTATTATTGGCTAATGGCTATTGTTGCTTACATTATTATTTAACCTTGAATAATTTTTCACATATATTATGTAATCTATAATCACGTGTTTCTCTTACGGATATAAAATAAAGCATGCTTAAAATTATTATACACTAGCATTGCCCGCGGCTCCGCCCGCGTTCAGATGACCAAAAACTAAATTCTTAGGTGTTACATATTAGTATACTCTTACATTGCAGTTTTTGTATTTTTCCTCAGAAATAAGATATTTTCCCGCGGTAAAAAGTATCCTAGGATCGCGCGCTACATCGCCCGGTTTATATAGCTTGAGCAGGCGGTCGAGCGATGCGGGGCAGAGGGGATGGACTCGCCGTAGGCATCTCAATGCTCGCCAAGCATTAAAAATGTTTCGCTACTAATTACTTCTAACAACGATATCTCAAAAACTATTCATCTGATTGATTTAGTGTAAAGAGCAATTTTAATCTGCATTAAATGACTAAGCTAACTAAAATATTCATTTGGATAAGGATTAATACCGAACTAAAGAAAATAACTTTGAAAATAACGTAATGTTTTTAATTAAAAATGTTAACATAAAAGTGGTTATTGTAAGTCAACCGTAAGAGATAGAGATATGCTATCGCGGACTTTTTTGTAGCATTTTTATAGATTTTGAATTCTCTAGTACATTACTTAACTGTATCTTTGCTAGTTTACGCGGCGTTCGCGTGGAAAGTTCCCATTTGGCGAGATTTTTTGCGACCTCTTCAACATTTGTCGCCGTATTTCAGCTAATTTACATAAAAGCATAATAAATTATATACCTAAACCTTCCTCAAGAATTACTCTTTCTATTGTTGAAAACCGTATAAAAATCCGTTCAGTAGTTTTCGAGTTTATCGCGTACAGACAGACAGGAGGACAGAAAGACGCGGCCGGGGGACTTATTTTTATAATAAGTATAGATTTTAATAACCAGTCCATATCTCAGTACATTGTCTTCTTAATATACCTATTACACAAGTAGTAAACGCGGCGTCTAATATGTAAACTATTTATGCAAGTGCATTATCCACGTGTAAGTTTATACTCATGCGTGTTAGAGGACCACGATGGAGGGCGGGGTGTGGGAGGAAGGGCCGGAGAAATGCGCGGGTGCGTCAGCGCACGCTATCAGCGGATGCAGATATCGCAAGGTTGCTGCGTCCACGTGCTGTCCAGTGTTTTCCGTTTACGACCTTCGATTTGATTTCGTGCATGTTTATAAGAGTAAGCTTTTTTGTACAGTATTTTAATTGTTTTTTTAAAGATCACACGCTTCTTGGAATAATAATATGCACATAATTTTTTTTAACTCATTACAATGACTAAACGGATCTATAAGATACAATATAATAAAGAAAATCGAATGAATATTGTACTTTGGATTTACTGGAACATGGATGATTGTCTGCTTTAAAATTGAAGTAGTAGGTTAATAATAATTAATATTAAACGAAATTTAAATTAAGCTTGAGTAGTAGAGATATACGAGGGTCAGCCAATTCCTACTGTTCGAATATTTTTCGAAAAATAAAAGAAATGAATTAGATTTTTTTAAAATTGCTTGGAACGAGCAAATACATCGCCTATCTAATATTACCGACACGATACAGGTATTGTTAATATAGGATCACTGCTGATCAATTGGAAATTATTCATATCAATTGTGTGGCCACTTAAGGAAGTAGGTGCCTGGTCGGTTAGCCGATGAGTCGAGTTCATGTGTTTAATAGGGCATTACAATGGCAGATATAGTTACCGAGCGGAGCATAGGTGTCGTCGCTCACGGAGCGCGAGGGCACGCTCGCGGTCGTCTCAAGATCAAGGTCGTGTGGCAGACGCGCGGCAAGGTCACCTGCGCACCCCGCCGCCCGCCGCCCGCCGTCCGCCCCTAGCGCGCCTTTAGTGCGCGCAAATATTTGCGACCGTCTGTCCTCCGCGACCGATATGCCGAGGTCAGCCCGTCAAAAGACCTTGAAGTAATATCGTACGACTTCTCCAAGAATGAAAGACGAATGATTTTTATCGGTCATTTTAACAATACGTGCTTCAACTGGTTATTTGATTGGAGGATGATCCGTCTACCGTGACCATTATATCAAACGATGCGGCACTGCTCTGCCTGCCTGGTTTACTTTCTTACTTATTATGTAGGACAATATGTAGGTTACTGACAGGGTTGCCAACTTGTTTTAGATCTAAACTCTAATATTAGTTCTTAGGCCACTTTAATCTACCTTAATCCCTTAAAGTACCTAGGTAATTTAGTTAATTATTTTATTTTAACCTAGTGAATTGTAATAAAATGTTTATACTATGTTTTCAATAATAAAATATAGTAAAAAAAAACATAAATGTATTTAAATAACCCGATTTTTTAATGTCAAAATAGATTCTAAATGCATTCATAGAGGTTATTTTTAAAAGATTTTACCAAATTTTAAGAACACAAAATATAACTCAACGTATGTATAAATTAATTATTATTGCTGTCCAGCTATTGGAATACTTCAATAATTATACCAGTTTGTAAATAATAAATGATAAAATTGTTTATGGAATGAGTACACTTTGGCGTAGTGTACAACATGGATATAGGTTTTCATATTAGACATTGTCATATAAATACATACATAGGTGAATTATACTAGAATTGTAATGAATCTGTATACATTATGTAACATGAAAATGTGTGAAAATCTGATCTTAGATATTTATTTTTTTAAATTCCAATAACTTTCAAATCCCTAAAAATCGCTGAATATCATCGCTGAAGTATCGAGGTTCTTAGGTCGTATCAGAGCCGGATTACCCATTAGGCAGTGTAGGCAACTGCCTATGGCTCCGCATCGGCTAGGGGCCCCACGTACCGAGAAAAAACAAATTAAAATGGTTCATCGAGCGAAAATTTAATTTGATAAATTAAATAATTAGGTGAAAATTCCACCAAGAGGACAAATACAATAGTTAGATTTCAATGAAATCTACCTAATAGCGTAATTACGAAAATGATGCAAATAATGCAATGTGATAGGAAAAAATGTTTTTCAATAAGTTAGAAAAGGGTGAAGGGGCCCTGAGAATTGCATTGCCTTGGGGCCTCCGACATGGTTAATTCGGCCCTGGGTCGTATACATCAGCTGACACACTGTACTGAATTATTTCCAAAGGATAAAGTTTAGATGTTAGAGGTATATAGAATTATTTTCTAATTTACTTTCTAATTTTCCTATCTATCGCACATAAGTCTAAAGCTGTTGGACTTTTAATAGGGTTTTATTTATATTACTGATAACATCTTATCATTTAAAAATGTAACTGAAATCAAGATCAAGTATAATCAAATAACGCAGCTTGAGGTCCCAGGATTTTTCACTTTCATATAAAGATAGCATAATATGTCATATAATCTATAATCGTGCTCGTGTAAGTAGTTAATAAGGACTGAATTTAAAAATTACTTATGAGTTCATCATTTAGACAAAAATTTTATTATAGACATGACGTGTTACCTGTTTGTTGATTGTTGACCCTGTTTTTAAACTTGACGGAAAATTAAAGATAAATGTATATAGGATTTTATAAAATATAGAATGCATTTTCTATATTTTGCAAATACAACTGAGATGGTTTTAAATTAACTGATCAATATTGCGCACATATGGGTATTTACTATTTTTACAAAAATAAAAAAATAGATGTTTGCTACTCAATTATGCCAGAACGGATGATCGGAACTGGATAAAATTTAGCTCAGCTATAGATTACAGTCTGGAATAGCACATAGGCTACTTTTTATCCCGGAAAAATATACGATTCCCGCGGGATAAATTTCATTTTGTTTTTCATTAGGGCCGAACCCGAGTGAAGCGAGGGTAAGCTCCTAGTTACAAATAAACACTGTTTGTTTGTTTTCTCCATCATTTTACAGAATTATCATGTTATCGTTTAATTAAATATTATGAGTACGATGTACGCATTTCATTGGATTATGCAACATACTATCATAAACATATGTATATATTTACCATTACTCATACAAAATGGTATTTTTTTAAATAATGGTTTTTGCTTGCATCTTCACCCGTGGTCCACGGGCGACGTGTTTTCTTTTTGTTAGTTTCAATTTTCTAGGTCTGCATAATATTTTGAAACCTAAAAATTAAAATATTATTATTACACGGGAATGCATTATCAGATTATAAAGTAAAATCGTACAAAAAATACATTATTTTAATTAAGGGCAGTCTTGATCATATTTCATTTGAGATATATTCAGTAATCAGTTATAGTATATTGTTTCATATACCATGCGCGGGTGGGACAACAATGAGTCTGGGCTGGTACTAAGAATTTTATAACAGAAAAACTCAATGACTAAACTTGACACGGTTTGGGACTCGAACCCAAGACATCCGGATCTACAGTCGTACGTGCCACTAGACCACCAATGAAGTCAGTAAATAATATTATATCTAATATTGAAATCGCGAACTTCTCCATCCTCTCAGTTCAGGTAGATTTTAAAATCTAGGTTATTGCTAGCGTCCCTCGATGCCTCTCGATTTTATAATATTTCGGAAGTTCTAAGAAAGGACGATTTTTTTTTCGATTCAATTCACAAATATCAACATACCAGTAACCAGTAGGTTAATTTTAGCAAAATGTTTCTAAATAAAATAAATAAATAAATAGCTTTATAGCCAACCAAGATAATCCCTCTCATTGTTGAAAATCCGTAGGTACAGCAGTTTCTGAGATTAGCCCAAACAAACAAACTCAGCGGCGAGTGACTTTGACATGTAGTGAGTTCATGACGTTTTAAACCTCTACCTACATAAATGGCCACCCTGTTCACTTCAAAAACCCTTTAAAGTTTAAGCAATAGCTTTAAAGTCTAAAGTCTGTCTTTACTCTTTAGCGATTTACTTTGTAGGTACAAAGGACGTTGTCGACTTGTCTGCCATTCTATTACTGTTTATTTTTTTTCTTGTTGTTTGAATGATTCGATTATATGAATAAAATTTATTATTTATGAGATACAATAATAAAGTGTTAATGAATGAAGTGTCAACTTTTCATATTAGGATGTGAACAATAGTTACCGTGATACGAATTTTAATAAAATAGTAACTTTAATTTTATTTCGCAAATACATATATCTACATGATTTATAAAATAAAAAAGATCAATTATATTAGGCATTTCCTGATGACCTTTCAGGTGATACGTAATTCCTTCTATTTATTCAAGTGCTCACTTGGTAAGGACATTGTTCATTATATACAAGGATTTCATATGAAAAAAGACAATTGGTGTCTACAAATAAAGGTCATAATATAAGAATAGTGAAGGCGACTAACATTATGTGATATTGCCTTGATTCTCGTCAAACGTTGTAGATCTAACTTACGTAACTAATAAGAAGATATTAATACTCAGTAATGTATACATATAATAAAATTATAACTGAGTCGAATCTGTACATTAAATATTTTTTGGAAAATCTAATTGAAATAGACATTATTATTGATACAGAGTCATCGCATCACGAGAATACCACTGGACAGATTTTGATGAAATTTAGTATGATGATAGCTGGTTATCTGGTTCAACATATAGGATATTTTTTACCGCGGGAGAAAATTTTCTCATTTCTGAGAAAAAATACAAAAACTGTATTGTAAGAGTATACCTATTAATATGTAAAACCTAAGAATTTGGTTTTTGGTTATCTGAACGCGGGCGGAGCCGCGGGCAATGCTAGTTTACCATAAACGCAGATTATTGTCTCCTTGTTTATAATAATTATAAATTATATGATGATCATTTTACTATTCTTTTAATTATTATAGATGGTTCATTTTTCAAATAAAAACAAAAAGTCAGAAATCAAAAATTAAAAAAAATATGATAATAGGTATGTATAAATAAAGTTTTTGTATGATTGGATTTCGTTTTACATTTGAATTTTTAAGTTACAATTATAAATTCACTTACAAAAACGCTTAACTAATGTGTAATATTAAAAAACTCTTTGATATGGGCAACATTTAACATTTCCTACTAAAACAAAACTGTAACACCGTTGTCACGCAATTGGCATTTCCGCCTTAAAACTGAAGGCAGCGTGGGATTACATTTAATAATGCTTTTTTTTACACACCAGTAATCAGACTCTTTTGTCTAGACCTATTTTGTGTCTCCCCGGCCTCCCGCCATGCGCCTCCATGAAGACTCGGACACGAGGCATCGGGGCCAAGGTTTCTATGAATTATGGAGTGTATGGTATTATTCAGGCCCGATGTGTGTCAGTGTTCTGATTTCGCGGCCGAATCGATGATTATAGCAGCTGAAGGTTTCATCCGACGGCGGGAGGTTAATTCTCCCGCAATGAACTTCCGCATATATCATTTTTATTTCGTTAATAAGAACGAAAAAATACAATACGTACTACTATGGCCTTTATAGAGGTAAAATAAATTACAATTCATAACCTTAAGGACGCTAAAGCTGTTAATCTTTAATTATATTGTTTTTTTCTTATTTTATTTATACATTAAGTAGATAGATTTCTATATGATATATTAATGAATTAATGAGAATAAAAATAAATAACTCACTCCATATTCGGAGCAAAACTAAAAAGAAATGTGATCAATGAGCGACATATATGTATGTATGTATAATACTTATATTATCTATATATATATATATATATATATATATATATATATATATATAAAAATGAATCCCTATTTCCCTTGGTCATGCCATCACGCGTGAACGGCTGGACCGATTTAACAATTTTTTTTTGTTGTCTTTGTTATTGTCAGGAGGAGGTTCTTATGAAAATTATAAAATTTAAGAATACTTAACAACCATATTAAAA